TGTCGAAGTTAAGAAAAAAAATTTTGTTCACCATTTGAGAGCCTTTTGAATATTCCGAAATTTTGCACAGTGTCGGAAAACATCATGTAGAGATTTTATGTGAATACCCTCATGTTTCAATGAAGTACGAGATTATAGCTGAAGGACTGGGCTATCGAACAGTGTGAACCAAATTTAAATTGTTCTAAACTGAAAAAAGGTATTCACATTATAACAGGGGCGACATTTTGGTGTGCGACGAAATTAGTGTTGAGTAGTTTATTATCAATGAAAAAAAAAAAAAATGGTTTGAATAATTCTGATACAAAATTCGAAAATGACATTTGACAGTTAATACTATTGACAGGCCCAGACAGGCCTGACATGTCTCAAATTACTGAAGCTGTGTTTAATGTACTGTGTTGCCATGGTAATGTGTTTAAGAAATCGTGTTGCCATGGTAACGTGTTTAATATCTTGAATAAATCACAGATCGTCAATCCGTGATTAATCGATCATTTAGCGTGGTACGTATCCGTACGCTAAATGCCCTTTTAGTTATGTGAGTAGAAAACATATTTTATCAGGTCCTTATTCTGAATTATGAACTTTTTATTACTATTTATGCCATCAGGTAACTAAGTTTGGTGTTTTGTTAGTTAATTAGTGTGGTATTGTTTTTATCATGGAAAAATCAAAGGGAATATTCTGTCAATTGGAACTTTTTTTATATGGAAAATCCATCCAATCCGTTGAAAATTCAATGTTTCAGTGATTTTGAAGCATTTTTGGAACTTTTGTACCTATACATTGTATATCATTTTGATAAAATACATTTAATACATTGAGTCGTAACCATACCCCGAAAAAAAAAGACTGCGCCACTGGATTCTGCGGCAAATTCTCTATGGGCTAAGATTTTAATTCGACATTTTCGCTGAGAGAGAAACTTTTTAGATAATATAGAGGGGGTCCAAAAAGTATAAATTTTCAAAATCGCCCTGTATCTCAAAACGGAAACAGTTATGCAAAATCTGATTATGCCATCTTGAGTTTCACAAAAAAGTGGCACAAGACCGCGAAAACAGCAAAGTTCTATCTCCAAAAATAACTGAGATATCACGAAAAAGCATCGAAAATTGGACACACTGTACATAATCGGGAGAACTCGTGTAGAACTGGTCATTATTCCTGTTCAAGCGAAATTGTTCATAAAAAATTTGAAAAAATATTGAATGTAACACGTTAGGAAATGCATTTTGTGTAAAGCTCGCTTCGCTAGTCCCACAAAATCCCATCGTAACACAAAATGACGCATTTCTCAACTGGTTACGTAATATGAGTTCACGATACGAATATAGTACAATATTTCACCTACTACCAACAATCTAATTATTTAATCAAAAATATTTCTAATGAATGATATTCAATTTTTGTAGCTATGTACTTACTGATGCATTCTTCTTTGTTGAAATAATATGTAGGGAAATATTTATTATTAGTACCTATCATGTCTATAATTATTATAATCAATTCTTTTTTTATTTCTCCGATTATCATTTATTTTAAATGAGGTTCAATCTTTGTGAATATTGAATATTATAATTATTGTAGATTATTACCTGATGATACTATGTCTATATTCATGACTAGCACACCACGCAAACGTTGTTTTGCTATATACATTATCTCTATAATAATATTTTTTCAGTTCAATATCCATCAAGACACTATTATTATTTTATTTTCTACTTCTTTTTAGTTTCGCTATCTATAAAAGCGTGTTTCTTTAGTTATTTTTGGCTACCATTTATTTCAATTTCTTTTTATTTCACTTGAATTTCCCAATTTTGACGAAAGAATCATAATATTCGACTCCTAAAACCCCAGATGAAAATTTTTAATAGAATCGGAACATAATTACAAAACTCGTCCGCAATATTGGATCTACCATCTTGAATTTCCTAATTTTGACGAAGGAATCATAATTTTTTTTTTCATTGACTCGGCCGTTACTTGATGAACTTGAGTTCATTGTACCAGTATATCACCTAACGAAGCTACTGTGTTAGCGAAACATGTCGTGTTTTTGAAAATTCTGTGGAAATCTTATCGTTTGTGAAGTTTTCACATTCATAATTTTTGATCCCGAAAACGCCCACTTACAAGCTTTGAATAGAATCGGTATGTAATTACAAAACTCGTCCGGTATATTGGTTCCACCGTCTTGAATTTCCAAATCCCGCCCTTTTCAAATTTTGACGAAAGAATCATAATCTCCGACCCCGAAAACACCCAGATAACAATTTTGAAGAGAGTCGGATCATATTTACAATACTCGTCCGCCATATTGGGTCCGCCATCTTGAATTTCCTAATTTTGACGATGGAATCATAATCCGCGATCACGAAAACCCATAGGTACCAATTTCGAAAAGAATTGGATTATAATTACAAAACTCGTCCGTCATATTGGTTCCGCCATCTTGAATTCCCAAATTACGCCCGAATTTTCAAATTCTGACGAAAGAATCCTAATCTCTGACCCCGAAAACACCCAGATACCAATTTTGAATAGAATCGGACCATAATTACAAAACTCGTCCGATATATTAGATCCGCCATCTTGAATTTCATTCCCACCAATTTTCAGCCAAATCGATCCAGTAGTTTCGGAGCCTATTCAATACATACAAACAAACAATAGTTATTTGTTTAACTAGGCAGCAAAGTAGTAGATTGATTGCCGAGGCTGAATTCATAGCCGAGCGTAGCGAGGCTAGGAATCCGGCTAAGGCAGTCAATCTATTTTGCTGCCGAGTTGAACATATAATTTTTTCTCCGATTGTTCATAATGATATATGTACAAGGTGATTCTAAAATAGGTGGTCAAACTTTGGGATTATATAGAGTGAGTGAAATAATTACGAAAACATTGGCAAATCTTTTTTCTGAAGTGCCCCCCAAGAAAGATACAGCCTCTCAAAGTGGGGCCTCGGAGAAAGATTTTGTATTATTATCTCCAACACCTTGTATGATGAAAATCTAAAATTTTGTTTATCCACTAACTAATCAGTGCCGGTTCGAATGGAGTCAAAATCACCTCAAAATTGAATACAGGGGTGTATCAAAATAGGGGGGTAGGGGGTAAAAATAACCCCAACTTTTTTGTTCATCGCAATTTCAGTTTTTTTACATGAAATTATGAAATCTCAATGCCATTAACATAGAAAAGGAGCTCTTGTTGAATCACGATAAAATGAACCATTAGCGAATACATTTTATTTTTCCAAGATTTCATTTAAATTGCAATTTTGGTATGCACTTGAGTTTAATTATCTAGTTCAAATCTTGCAACTGAATTTTCACCTACTTCTACAACTTGGAATCTGGCAGATGACAGTTGACAACGGGTTATGGTCTTCTTGATAGAAAAAAATATGGCGGCTCCAATGTGGCTGACCAGATTTGTGATTATGGTCCGATTCGATTCAAAATTGGTTTGTAAGGGTTTTTGGGGTTGGAAATTTTGAATTCGTTGTCGGAATTCATGAATTAAAAATAGACTACGAGTTTCGTGATTATGATCGTATTGAAAATACTAAAATAAAAAATATTTATAAAAACAAGCTTCCATTACTTTAACTATTGAAATGAAAAATAAGATGAAATGAGGTGAAAAAACACAAGCCTTTATTCAAATGCTCTGAAAATGAGGGAATGAATAGGATCAGTTCATAATAACAAAACTCGTCGGCTATTTTGATTTCATGAATTCCGACAACGAATTTTGAATTTCCAATCCCAAAAACCCTCACATACCAATTTTGAATCGAATCGAACCATAATCGCAAATCTGGTCAGCCACATTGGAGCCGCCATAACGCATTGTCAACTGTCATCTGCCAGATTCCAAGTTGATCAGACGATTAGAAGTACGTAAAAATTCAGTTGCGAGATCTGACCTTTTCTATGAAAATAGCCCTGAGATTTCATAATTTCATGTCAAAAAACTGAAATTGCGATGAACAAAAAAGTTGAGGTTATTTTTACCCCCTACCTCTCCATTTTGACACACCCCTGTATTTAATTTTGAGGTGATTTTACCTCCATTCGAACCGGCACTGGATAGTAAGTGGATGGACAAAATTTCAGATTTTCGTTATACAAGGTGTTGGAGATAATAATACAAAATCATTCTCCGAGGCCCCCCTTTGAGGGGCTGTATCTTTCTTAGGGGTCACTTCAGAAAAAATTGTTACGGAGGTTTTCGTAATTATTTCACCCACTCTATATGCTCCCAAAGTTTGACCACCTATTTTAGAATCACCTTGTATATCTCCTTATTTTTCCTGTAGTGTTCAATTAAAATAAAATTTGATAGAAATCGCAGTTGTTGGAATGATTGGTTGCTATGGAAATGTCCATAATAATTATAGTTTGACAATTCATGAAATTCCTGACAGTTGTGCGAAAAAATATCGGTATATTTAAATTATTATATAATGGACAGTGATAGCGACCTGGAAGTACTTAAACCTCCAGAAATAAGGGAGGCGGCAAAAAATATAGAGCTGAATTTGTTGCCGGAGAAGTCTCGGATGAAATATGAAGGAAATTAAAAACGATTTATGGATTATTAATTTTGCTGATACATATTATCAATCAGCAAAGTAACCACTTTGCTGCCTAGGCAGGAAAAGTAATACTCTGCTGATTGATATGTGTCAGCAAAATTAATATTTGCTGTCAATCGAAGAAAAACAATCTTTCCTCTTTATAATATCAGTATTGATAAATTGGTTCTTATTTCTATTTTCGAGTCAAAATAAAATTTGAAATTATACTTTTTTCACTTAACCGCACTAGTGCGGTAAAGTATCTCATTACGATACTGAAATCAGTGTCGTAATGTTTCACATTACATATTGGTAGTAGGTTAATATCTATTTCACTCTTTTCAGTAACATCAGATCTAGCGTAAGATGTCTTGGCTCAGTTGTTCCTGAATTGAAGATTAACGATTTCGACGTGAAAAATGAACCGGTGTATAATTACCTAAAGGGATCCAAAGAACGGGTGGACCTTGAAAAGGCTCTGAACGAAACGGCAGCCAAAACGGAAGATGTACCTATAGTGATTGGCGATAAAGAATATCGAACGAAAGATGTCCGCTATCAGGTAAGTGATCATTAGGAAGTGGAAGCCAGATTGAAGGATTCAAACAGGTTATTTTTCTGATATGTAACTCATTAAAATGGGGGGCACTTGAGATTTCTGCTAAAAATGATATTCTAATTTACATGTAAAGTAATTGTAATTTTATGTTCCCTAATTATGAAGGTAAAAGTCTTCGATTCACAGCAGCGAGAGAGCTGCTGGTTCAATTTAATATTTGATTCATATCAAATTATTTTTGAAAACTAATCCCTTATAGAGCTGTGATCACGTCTGTTCTCTAACAGTTACTCACCTGCACTATGCCGTTACCATCGAGACAATAAGGCCAGAGCTCTGTGACGTAAACAGCTCGTGACGTAAACAGCTCGTGACGTAAACAGCTCGTGACGTCAACTAAGAGAGGCCACACACATATTCTATGGCATGTCGATTCGTAGTCACCGTTGCCAGACCTACTATTTTAACAGTAGATCTACTGTTTTCGTCTCCGTTCTACTGTTCAAGGCAATAGTCTGACAATACGGCCAGAGCTCAGACGTAAACAGCTCGTGACGTCAACTAAGAGAGGCCACACACATATTCTATGGCATGTCGATTCGTAGTCACTGTTGCCAGACCTACTATTTTTACAGTAGATCTACTGTTTTCGTCTCCGTTCTACTGTCCAAGGTAATAGTCTGACAATACGGCCAGAGCTCAGACGTAAACAGATCGTGACGTCAACTAAGAGAGGCCACACACATATTCTATGGCATGTCGATTCGTAGTCACCGTTGCCAGACCTACTATTTTAACAGTAGATCTACTGTTTTCGTCTCCGTTCTACTGTTCAAGGCAATAGTCTGACAATACGGCCAGAGCTCAGACGTAAACAGATCGTGACGTCAACTAAGAGAGGCCACACACATATTCTATGGCATGTCGATTCGTAGTCACTGTTGCCAGACCTACTATTTTTACAGTAGATCTACTGTTTTCGTCTCCGTTCTACTGTCCAAGGTAATAGTCTGACAATACGGCCAGAGCTCAGACGTAAACAGATCGTGACGTCAACTAAGAGAGGCCACACACATATTCTATGGCATGTCGATTCGTAGTCACCGTTGCCAGACCTACTATTTTAACAGTAGATCTACTGTTTTCGTCTCCGTTCTACTGTTCAAGGCAATAGTCTGACAATACGGCCAGAGCTCTGTGACGTAAACAGCTCGTGACGTCAACTAAGAGAGGCCACACACATATTCTATGGCATGTCGATTCGTAGTCACTGTTGCCAGACCTACTATTTTTACAGTAGATCTACTGTTTTCGTCTCCGTTCTACTGTCCAAGGTAATAGTCTGACAATACGGCCAGAGCTCTGTGACGTAAACAGATCGTGACGTCAACTAAGAGAGGCCACACACATATTCTATGGCATGTCGATTCGTAGTCACTGTTGCCAGACCTACTATTTTTACAGTAGATCTACTGTTTTCGTCTCCGTTCTACTGTTCAAGGCAATAGTCTGACAATACGGCCAGAGCTCTGTGACGTAAACAGCTCGTGACGTCAACTAAGAGAGGCCACACGCATATTCTATGGCATGTCGATGGTTTAGAGAACAAACTTTTTTCCGTTTATCATAAAGGTTTCTATGTTTTTTCATTTATAATAGCAAATTGTGATGATTATTGCAATCTACTGTTCAGTTTTGATGATCTACTTTTTTTTATCGCTTGGAGCGCACGAAAGGAAATCCCTATAATGTTCAAAGAACATCGTGCGTTTTTTCCTTACTCATCTACTGCTTCGGCAAAGTTTCATCTGGCAACACTGCTCGTAGTCAGATCGATCAGGTATGTTTGGAAAACGGTCGCGTCCCGAATTCTTTTGTTGTTTATTCATTAAAAAAATTGGCGGAAAAATTACTTTTATGTGAAATATTTTATGTTGTGGTAGGCGAAATAACAATGCCTTCCAAGTGTTGTGTTCCCTTTTGTCGGGAGAATTATGTGGGTGTTCCAAAAGTTCATGCTTTTAGTTTCCCGTTGGAAAAAGAACTATCGAAAAAGTGGGTATATGCAATTCACCGCGAGGATTTCACTCCATCTAAGTACAGTATTAAACAGAGCTTAAATTATAATGATGAATTGATAATAGAAGACAATTATTACTCTCTCATAAAAAGTATGAGTAGAGGAAAGAGAGGAAAGCTTTGATTGTGCAGTTAGTTTTGTATTCGTATATTATATTCAACAAAATCATCTCTGAAGTCGAGGAAATTTTCTTGAATGTTCATAATAAACGGACATTTTTAATTCAATACATTCTCAAATTTCTTTCTGAAAACGGTCATTATTTGCTTCCCTCGTGACAATGAATGCAGAATTCATTCCAATGATCAAATTGCAACTATCATATTAACATGTACTACAAACACTCTACTTAAAAAGGTAAAACTGCATTTATCATGCAATGGTTTTTTTCCGAAAATTTTTCTTGGTACTTATTTTTGTCTGAAAAACACGAATTTGATAATGAAAATGTGAACAAACCATTATTTATTAAGATATTTGACTATAAAGTTACAAATTTCACCTTCTTTTTCGTCCTCTAGATGGCATTTAGAACAATTTCCCCTTCTTTTTTCATCATATTGGACAATTTATATACAGGGTGTCCGCTAAAAGGAGGTCAATCCATTAACCATAATATATTCCTTGAACAAAAACAATATGAGTTTCTGCATATCATTTTTCATTTCAGCCCTTCATATTCGATATACAGGGTGTCAAAGTTGGAAATTAAAAACGGTTTTTTTTATTTACTCGCGTATTTAATAAGATATTAATCTCAAAATTGGTACATTACTTCAGCACAAACAGTTACGTCGTGTGAGGAAAACAAAACAGAAAATAACTGTCAAATATCCAAAATACTGGGGGTCAAGTACACAGTCAACCCCATATTTTTTTGTACGTGCGCTAATGACTTCCTATCTATTTTTCTTCAAGTGTTCAATCATTTTTGAATATTTCTTGTCTCATGTAAAATTTCGATAAAATTATTTGTTTTTAAGATAATTCGAAAAGTACTGGTTATTGTTTGATGCCTATGCGGCTTACGGTAATCTCATAATGTTCACATACTCCTATTTTTTTCGACGAAATTGGAAGAGGGCGTAACTTTTCACGTACGAAAAGATAAATATGGAAATACCGGGTGCTCAGAGCGAATGTATTAAAATAATTTTTTGAAAAAAAAATTGATAGAAATTCAACACGTCTAGATGAATTGCTCGATATGACCTCCAATTTTTTTTTGTGAAAAATTTACACAAAATCTTTCATACATCCCCAGACAATCCTGATCTGCTATTTCTTCCATAGATATATAATTGTTTCAAATATAATTTTTATTGTGTCGGTTTCCCACCTCTTCCTGCAGTCTACATTCACCTGTAAATTTTGAATTTGTTCTGAATTAAAAACACTGTGGACTGATGACATAGCACATTGCAATTTCACTAAATCTTCTAGTTTTGATTTTTAACTTTCAATTTCTTTCCGCATCATCTCATTCTCATTTTCTTTCACTGCGATCGTATCATTCAGTAATTCCCAATACGATGACGACGGAACTCTTTTTTTGAACGTCTCTATTTTATAAATTTACGACACAGCAGACTCTTTCAATTTGAAATCCATCAGCTTGAAAGAATCTCTATCAGAATGTGCCTAAAATTCATCTTTTTTGTACTGTTTTTACAAGTAAAGTCGAACATTCACCTCACATATTGCGGATTTCTTGAAATTAATTTTCAATTCTGGACGTTTCATTGCATTCTTCCATGACATTATCTTTAAAGGATCATTTGGAATTTCAATAACTTGAATCCCTTTTCTAATGAATTATCACAATAATGTTCGAAGCAGGACATTGAAATAATTTAAAATGCTAAATTTTGGCGGCCATAAAATTTCAAAGTGACAGTGACAAAAATTCGAAATAATTAAAAAAGCGGGCGGGACGACTATGGTGTTTCGTCACATTGTCAGGTGGGCAAACCAAATGAAACAAAATATTGAAAACCCCAACAGCTGTCAGTTTTGTGTCCGGACTCTTGTCTAAGGTATACCGGGTGTAACAGGATCATGGTACACCCCCCGTATCTCCGGTAGTTTCAGAGGTAATTGATTGGAATTTGGGGTATCCCATATACATAATTATGGGAACTTTTTGAACTACAAATAATTTTTTTACCACTTCCTGTTTCGCCGGAAGTGATACCAACTTTCGATTTTTATATGGAACACCCAGTATATTATTACATTTCTGAAATCTGCATAATTTTCTGAATCCAATGATACCACATAAGTGACATTTCAAACGTAAAAATTTTTTATATTTTTATTTTTAGTTTTCCATTTAAGTGTGCCATGATGGTTCCGATTTATTCCAATTGACCCGTCTAATGCTAGAAAAATCGAAATCCTCTCAAAAATACAAAATTGCGTTTTTTATGAGCAAATAAAGTTCATCGTAATCGATTTTCGGGTAAAACTCAATTTTTTCAAATGGAACCATATTGGTACCGTGGTACCATTTATAAGTACTATTAATGAGCAATTTATCCATACCTGCTAATAAAATGTGCGATAAATACAATCAAAATCACAGCTAAAAGAAAATAAGAAAATACAATTATTTTGTTCTAATTTAATGCTAAGAAATTACTAAGGTGGCTTTGAAAACAATGAAATTATTCCTTCAGATAGTCAAATAAATGTCAGTAATTCATATTTCATAGAATCAGTATATATAACTATCAACTGCAGTGAATAGTACTAATATTTCAGTAATTAACTAGACATCTTCCTAACTAGGAGAATAAGATGAATTATAACAGCTCAAGCAGTGAAATATACAAGAAAAATCAGTCATTATCACCAGAAAATCAGAGAATTCGAAATAATCCGATTTAACCACTCATGCAATCGCAGTCAAACGAAACGTTTTTCTTGGTGATATTAACCTCCCAATACTAGAAATATTGTACCATATTTTGAGGTTTACAATCACTATCAGGGCAGTGTAGTTCACTTATAAACGCTGTAAATTATACCACGAATGTGTTCGAAAGTACCACGATTTTGCAACAGCCAAAGTGTGGTGAATTCATCGGCCGGATTTTTCTGCGTGTACGACCGAGTATTCCAAACCAAAAATTGAAACCGAACCGCACTTGAAAGTTACCCTCCTGCAATAAATTTTGATTATCTTGTGACCAATACCTTGTATTTTGTCGGTTAAATAATCCCATATTTGTAAAGCTAGACTCGTCCGAAAATAAAATCCTTCCCAAAAAATCATTGTTTGTCTGCACATCATTCTGCAAGATCCAATTGCAATATTCCATCCTACGTTCATGATCATTTTCGTACAGGTGCTGGTGCAATTGATATTTGAAAGATTTATAATTATGTTTGTGCAAGATTCGGCTTACCGTTTGGTGACTAATTTCCAATTCAAACCCAATTTGCCTTAAAGAAACGGTCTTATCAACTTCTATTCTAGCTAAAACATTAATTTCCGTTCCTATGTCAATGATAAAGTTTTCTTCGGGATCATGGTTAGGCTCTCTTCGAAATTGATTTTCAAGACGATTAAAATAATTTCTCCTGGACTTTGTCTATCAGGATATCGGTCGGAATAAAGGTTTCTAGGCGCAGCGGCATTTTTTCTACATTCCCAATAAATAATCAACATGTTCACTTTTTCATCCCTTGTATGAATGTGCGGTTTTTTGAACGTGAATAATAACAAATGTAAAGACTTTTCCAATACACAATGACATCACCGATAAACCACCGATAAACCAACATTTATTTGACAATCTGAAGGAATAATTTCATTGTTTTCAAAGCCACCTTAGTAATTTCTTAGCATTAAATTAGAACAAAATAATTGTATTTTCGCACATTTTATTAGCAGGTATGGATAAATTGCTCATTAATAGTACTTATAAATGGTACCACGGTACCAATATGGTTCCATTTGAAAAAATTGAATTTTACCCGAAAATCGATTACGATGAACTTTATTTGCTCATAAAAAACGCAATTTTGTATTTTTGAGAGGATTTCGATTTTTCTAGCATTAGACGGGTCAATTGGAATAAATCGGAACCATCATGGCACAACTAAAAATAAAAATATAAAAAATTTTTACGTTTGAAATGTCACTTATGTGGTATCATTGGATTCAGAAAATTATGCAGATTTCAGAAATGTAATAATATACCGGGTGTTCCATTTGAAAATCGAAAGTTGGTATCACTTCCGGCGAAACCAGAAGTGGTAAAAAAATCATTTGTAGTTCAAAAAGTGCCTCTCATTATGTATATGGGATATCCCAAATTCCAATCAATTACCTCTGAAACTAACGGAGATACGGGGGGTGTACCATGATCCTGTTACACCCGGTATACAGGGACTCTAGCGGTCGCCTTATAGCGCCACAAGCGCTTGTCGTTTCGAGCCGCTGGCTAGGCCTCACTAAGGTGACGTCATCACGGAGCATGCAGGCCTTATTGTCTCGATGGTAACGACTATGCGCGGTGAAAAATAATTTTTTTCACGTATTTTAAGTAATCTTTTTCCACCAATAATGGTGGGTACATTTAGATTTTTAAACAATACTTGAAAACTATTATTAAATTATTTATGTGGTGGAGTTGTGACTGTAAGTTCTTTCACCCCTCCTGATTTATATCACCTCCACTGTAAGTTGGCTACAATTATTTATTTGACATGCAGCATTTTTGTTAGGTTATGCCGCACAACCACAAGAAGAAACTCGCCAAATTTTACTACGCAGACAAAGACCTCGTGAACAAGGCCATTCAGACCGCTTGCGAAGCGCAACAGAAATGGGACAGGGTACCCATACCAGAGAGGTTCGTTTCGCACCTAGTTAGGCGAGAGGTATAATATTTTCTGTTCATTGAAAAAAATTCCGAAAATCGTCCTTATTGGCAAAATTTTCAGTAAGCTAGTCTTCTAGTCTGCACCAAGCTATTTATTTGTTATCCTCACTCTGTGTACATACAGTGTGTCCATTTAGTGCGAAATTCTTCGATATCTCGAAATCCATTAACACAAGAGAAAAACTTTTGGGAACAAAGTCCTTCCGTTATTAAAAGTTTCCATTTCAAAAATATTTTCAACAATACTGGCCACTGGGTGTTTTATAAAAGCGGAAGGATTCGAAGACGAGTTTTTTAAATAGAACACCCAGTATTTTTTATTTGAAATTTATTCCGCTCAGGTTTAGCTCTACATCGCTGTAAAAAAAATTGAATTCGGTTGCTGCGTTGTCAAGTTATAATTGATAAACCCATTTTTACTACTATTGAAGGGTCATGTTGAATTGGGTATGGTATATTCATTTATTAAAATTTTCAAAATATTTTTGGCATACAGTAGTAGCAAGGTCTCACGTACACCAATCCAGTTATTTTGCGAGACAATCCTTTACAGAGTGCTGAAATTTACATTCTGAATAATTCTGTAATATTTCCACAATACAAATAAATGAAAGAACTATGACGTACAAATCACCCCAAAATAGTAGTAAAAATAAGGAAATTATCCATAACTTGACAACGCCGCAACCGATTCGGATTTTTTTTCAGCGATAAAAAGGCGAAAGATGTCGGAATGGATTTGGAAAATTTTAATGAATGTCATCTGAATCTTGCAAAATTCTAAATGCCAAATTGAGCACCCTGTTAAAGAAGATGTCGCAAAATTACTGGATTGATATACGTGAGACCTCGCTACTACCGTATGCCAAAAATATTTTCAAAATTTGAATAAATGAATATAACATGCCCAATTCAATATGACTCGTCGATAGTGGTAAGAATAGATTCATCAATTATAACTTAGCAACGCCGCAACCGATTTAAATTTTTTTTACAGTGATATGAAGGTGAACCTCGGCGGAATCAATTCCGAATAAACAATACTGGGTGTTCCATTTAAAAAAACTCGTCTCCGAGTTGTCTCGCTTTTATAAAACACCCAGTAATGTTGAAAATATTTTTGAAACAAACAACTTTGGTAACTGAAAAACTTTTTTCTCCAAAGTTTTTCTCTATAGGTTATGGCTTTCAAGATATCGAAGAATTACGCACTAAATGGACACACTGTATAGTAGGAGAGCCAGCTGCAAATGTCGATCGTCATCTGATAACAAAATGACAAATTTATATCATGAAGGCATGTAAAACATTGTAGTTTATCGAACGACACCTGTGCCAATCGCTCCTGAGCAAAATGATTGTAAAATTGCACTTTCCTGTGCGGTAATTTGCACAAAATTTCGCGATTTGATATCGAGATAAGAATTAGGCCATCCAATACCAATGGAATACTCTGCTCCAAGTATCCAACCTAAAAACATCTACCAATATACAGGGTATCCGGAAATTATGTGCAAAAAATCAAGGGGGTGATTCTACATGACAAAATAAGAAATTCATTTCGTATGTACGTGGTTCTGAAAATGCATAGTTTCCAACATACAGTGTGTTAAAAAATTTTTTTTATGAATATCTCTAATGTCCTTCCACCGATTTTCTTGAAATTCGGCAATGATATTTTTTGTTATGAGGAGCTGATTTAGCCATAATTCAATTGGAATTATGAAATCCAGTGGCATCCCGAGGGGTTACCTACCGAATATTATTGTCAATAAAATGTGCGCCATTGATTTTTTTGAATTCTGTATCTTCATAACCTATTGACCAACTAAAAATATAATATTTTGGTCTCTAGAATTGTTTTGATGATTTGCTTCATTTCCATGGAAAAAATAAATACCAATTTATTGCATAAATTTGTAACAAAAAATTCCTGGGGAAACTGGGGTGAAAATAAATACGTGATCAATTCCCATAGACATAGAATGAGTATGAAGATTTATTTTCTTCAAATATTTCTTGATACATGTTTGACACACTCTACACTCTGTATATTGAGAACTATGTATTCTTGGTCCAGGAAGGCGTAGTTTTCGATAATACAAAGTGTGTCGAACATGTATTATAAAATATTTGAAGAAAATTAATCTTCATTCTTATTCCACGTCTATGAAATTGGTATTTGTGTTTACCTACGGAAACGCAGCAAAATAGCTAAACAATTCAATAGACCAAAATGTTGTGATTTTAGTTAATCATTGGGACATGAAGATATAGAATTCAAAAAAATCAGTGGCACACAATTTATTGACAATAATATTCGGTAGGGTGCCCCCGGGACGCCACTGGATTTTACAATTCCAATTTAATTATGGCTATATCAGCCCCTCATGATAAAGAATATCATTGCCAAATTTCAAGAGAATCGGTGGAAGGATATTAAATTTGAGATATTCATCAAAAAACGATTTCTTCTAAAAAGTTTAACACACTGTATCTTGAAAACCATGCATTTCCGGACCCACGTATATATGAAATAAATTTCATGTTTTGAATACTCAAATGGCTGTATTTTGATGAAATCTGATTGTGGAAGTTTACTCAGCTTTCTGATTAAAGTAATTCAGAAAAAAAATTGTTATTTGTGAACTCTACCTCTAATTATTGGTTGAAAATCATCTCCATCTGCTTTACATCAATACTCCTCAATGGCGCCAATAGTGTCACGAATAAAACTGTATTTTAGTGAGTTGGAATGATTAGGGTTTTATAAATATTTAGTTATTCGAATCATCCGTTGACACTGAACTACTTATACTGACCAAGGAACTCTCATGAGGAATGTACATACCGATAATGAATATTTAATAATAATAATTATAAAAATATTCATTTCATTCTTTGTCATAAACATTACATTGCATCTAATATAAATATATTTATTATGGTTTATAATATAATAACATGAATAATCAGACAGATTCATATCTGGTTATTAAATCTAAGATATTGAAATAAACAACAGATACAGAAATAATAATAATAAAAAAAAATCTCAGGAAAAGTACATTATGACATGATGAAATAAATCAGTGAATGAGAAATCATTCCTTCAGGTTTGATTTTCTCTGTGGATAGGAGTGTTCAGAAGTTAGTCTGATCACAGATGAACAAACTTCACAAGAAATCGCCGTAATGGTAATCATAATAAAAGTTTTTATTAGGTCTACATATTCAATGTTGTTTATTTATATTTCATTACTACCCATGTAATGAAGTGTTTTTGAACCAGCTTCATTACTAGACTGGATTTGATTAATATCTAAGTACCTGAGACTGATTCTAGTTGAATTTTACTGAGCTGAGTAATTTATTGATTCCTGACTTTCCAAAGCTTTTCCTGATAATAAACTCCGATAATAGTAATTTTAATAAAGTGCGGAAAGTAATTATTTCCCGCACTTGACACGAACGACACGGCAAGCAGTCGAGTGCGGGAAAGACACTTTCCGCATGAGTTAGGAACAATATTTTTTCTACAAGCGTATGAAATTGGTTGATTTGCTCAATTAATTATTCATTCATATAGGAACAATTAACAAGAGAAATATATTCTCTATCTATTAATTATTAGTAATAGCTATTGTGAACTTACAGTTTGACGCATTATGTATAGGTTCATTGCGGAAGTCAGCAGGCCCATGAGGAGTTTGGTCTCTAGGTTTCAGACACTTCTAGGAAATGAGCCAAAAATACATCTTCTTTATTCGGTATTTTCATTTCTTTATTGTTGCACCATTCAATGAAACGCGTGTATAGCTTCTCATAACTTTCTTAAGACTTCGTTGGTAATAACGCATCTGTATCGCATCCCTATAGCTGGAAGTTTTTGATCACATTGTGGCAATTCCACTGAATCGAAAATGACAGTGACGCTGTGTCTGTCACTTCGACAATTACAAATTCGTTTGAGGTTTGATTGGCATGACAACAATAATCGTTTTTCATCAGATCAATACAAATCTATAGGGGGATTTTTATAATAATCAATTTTTATTTTGCAATATTTCTTAATTTTCACAATAAATAGTGCAATTTGATGGATGATTCGGAACATACATACTTGATACTGCAACAAACAAACTCAAACTCTCATATTCCATTACCTACCACTTATATTTATTCCATATTATCATATCTTTGTTTTCCCGCACTAGTGTGGGAAAAAATTTTCCGGAATGTTGCGGGAAAATGACACTTCCCATACTAAATTGCGTGCGGGTATAGGGTGAATCACGCACGCTTGTAGAAAAACATCATTACAGTCCCAGAGACTTCAATATTTTCAACCCTATGCTTATGATATGAAATTTGGATGAAGTATTTACAGTATTTATCTGTTAAAATGATGTATGTTTACCTGGTCATAACTTTTTTGTTATTGGATATTTTCGAGTCAAATTCATTCAGTAGCATTAGCAAGGTTAGTAGATTCTGTTCCTGTGCCCATTTAGGGTTAAATATCATTTTTTCCGCATTTTTGTGGGTTTAAGTACATGTGCTTTTGGATGCTAGTTCCTGCGGACATAGTTGAGGATTCCGACCAATCAGAATCTAGGATTGAGCTGTCCTTGTATGGAGGTTGATGAAGAGTATAAATACGGAAGACAGCTAAGGGATCGTTCCCTATCGCTCTCTATCGCTCTCTACAATCTCTACAATCTCTACACTCTATACTCTATGCTCGAGACTTGGCTCTACACACTCGACTCTTCACCTGTGTCTCTCCTGGTTCTCTTGCTGATCTCTTAGTACTCTCATTCAAAGTGTAAAGTATTAATGTAAAGTGATTTCGTGTTGCACATATAAGTTTGTATAATATTTTTCACCATTATTATTCATCCTGTTTATAGAGTAATTTCACTCCTGTTGTTTCTCATACCTATACTCACCCGATATGTGTAACGAAT